CTCGTTTTTGCAAGAGAAATTCAAGGGTGAACTCCATTTTCTCGTCCAAGTTTTCTACTAGAAATCGATGCTTTCGAAAATTAATGATATATAAAAAAAAAAAAAATAGGGGTTTTCACAAAGCCGACTCAACTTCTTATAAAAGGGTAGTATGCCAAGATCTTATAGCAAAAAAAAAACTAAATGTAGCACCTACAAAGGGTCGGTACCTTTAAGTCTTAGCCCATCCATCAGAATATCGGTTACCTTGCAATTCTGTGTGTATGAATGAAAATCTGAAGCAAAAGGAACACTAGTTTCTGGTTTACATGCATAGAACCACCAGTAAGCTACTATTTTTCCAATGCCTTTTTAGTGGACTAAAGTTTTTTTTTTTTATTGGGCAAGTATAGTGGGCTAAAGTTAAATGCACCAACCTTTGAACTTTCCAAAAAGTACAGACCATTGAGCTTTCCAAGAAAACCTAAAATGACTCTTCAACTCATTGCTAAATACATTTTTCTTTTCATATCTTTTTAAGGCAAAAAGAATCCACTAAAAGCTGCTAAAAATAGGGGAGCAACCCCTGCAGATGCAAAACAGACTAGGCAATAAACAAGACAAAGTGGAAGACCAAAACTATATAATGAGAAGATAAATGCAGATGCAAAACATTCAAGGAAATAAACAATATAAAGGGGAAGACCAAAACTATGTAATGAGAAGATAAGACAAGGCCAAGAATCCTTACAAAAACTTTACAAAAGATCCTGTACACCCTGGGTGTGCTCATGTATCCACATNAAAAAAAAATAGGGGTTTTCACAAAGCCGACTCAACTTCTTATAAAAGGGTAGTATGCCAAGATCTTATAGCAAAAAAAAAACTAAATCTAAGTAGCACCTACAAAGGGTCGGTACCTTTAAGTCTTAGCCCATCCATCAGAATATCGGTTACCTTGCAATTCTGTGTGTCTGAATGAAAATCTGAAGCAAAAGGAACACTAGTTTCTGGTTTACATGCATAGAACCACCAGTAAGCTACTATTTTTCCAATGCCTCTTTAGTGGACTAAAGTTTTTTTTTTTTATTGGGCAAGTATAGTGGGCTAAAGTTAAATGCACCAACCTTTGAACTTTCCAAAAAGTACAGACCATTGAGCTTTCCAAGAAAACCTAAAATGACTCTTCAACTCATTGCTAAATACATTTTTCTTTTCATATCTTTTTAAGGCAAAAAGAATCCACTAAAAGCTGCTAAAAATAGGGGAGCAACCCCTGCAGATGCAAAACAGACTAGGCAATAAACAAGACAAAGTGGAAGACCAAAACTATATAATGAGAAGATAAATGCAGATGCAAAACATTCAAGGAAATAAACAATATAAAGGGGAAGACCAAAACTATGTAATGAGAAGATAAGACAAGGCCAAGAATCCTTACAAAAACTTTACAAAAGATCCTGTACACCCTGGGTGTGCTCATGTATCCACATAAAATGGTGCTCAGCACCTGAAACTTGACGCATATAAAGGAAGCTCAAATCCTTCAAAAAAATTATTCTTCTCCTGAATTCAACCACAACACGAAATAGAGCGATATTCTACAATTACCGCTCCACAAACTAACAGAACATTAGGGGTGCAACTTGGGCGGCTAACCCGAGCCCAATCCTAACCCAGCCCAAAAAATCAGTGTTTGGGTTAAGGATTTTGAAACTCGAGTTGGGCCTGGCCAAAAAACTCTATTCTGAATTGAATTTGGGCAGTACTCGGGTTGAGGCCTCGAGTTCACGAATTCAACCAAAATTAATGAAATTGGGCTCAACCCGATATAGGACCCGAGCTCAACCTGATTTTTTTTAAAAAATAATATTATATATTTATATCTATATATATATATATGAAGAGGGACTGATACTACTTACTAGGGTTTATTTCTTCTGTTGCTCTCTGCCTCTCTCCAATCCATCTATCTGCTCTCTGTTATTCTCTCATTGTCGTCTCTCTCCATCCGTCTCTCTCGTCTCTCAATCTGCTGGACCATTTCGCATGATGTGTTAAGACAACTTTCTCCATCTTACATCACCTCAATCTACAAAGATCTAGATCTTGTATCCTATCTCTCGTCTCTCAATCTGCTGGACCATTTCGCATGATGAGTTAAGACAACTTTCTCCATCTTACATCACCTCAATCTACAAAGATCTAGATCTTGTATCCTAGATCTCATCTGAATCTTTAGCCTATACCTCGATCTCATTCTCCATCCTCCTCTTTCCAAGTATTGATCTAGTCTGGATCTCGTCTCCATCTGTAGTGCTTCATGGTTTTAGCTATAACCATCCTCCCTCTGGTAGTCTTTAGTTCTTTATGTCAAATTTTTAGATTGATTTGTTTGTGTGATGAGTTATAATGAATTTGTTTGATTAGATCAACGTAACTTCAACTGGTTTTGAACTTTAGTTTATTACAGATAATAATCACACATGGGGAGACAAATGAAGAATTTGTGGCTATGCTTGCACTGGTATTGACAATGGTAGTCAACCTGAATTCAACCCAAGTTTTAAGAAAATAACTTGGGCAGTACGCGAACTAAGTAACTCGGGTTGGATGTTGGGCTCAGGTTGGAATTTTTATACCTTGGGTTGGAACTAGGTTGACTCCCTAACCCACCCAAGTTGTACCCCAAGAGAACATCCACCAAGCTCAGTATGACAAAAGATTGCTTGAAAACACAAACAACACATGCCGTATTTCTAGAGCAGCTCCCCCCCCCCAAAAAAAAACACCCAAAATGAATCAAAGGATAATCAACCAATTCCTCCGTTATTTTATAGATGTAACAAGAAGTGGTGATTATCTTGGCTATCCTAAAATTGTCCACGATGAAAAGGGCCCCCAAGGCCGAAATCCATCTAGAAACGGCTCTTTTAGCGGAGCTTTAGTTTGACAAAAGCCTTCAGATAATTAAGATCGAATTAAAAACATAGAATAGAAAGAATANACGATGAAAAGGGCCCCCAAGGCCGAAATCCATCTAGAAACGGCTCTTTTAGCGGAGTTTTAGTTTGACAAAAGCCTCCAGATAATTAAGATCGAATTGAAAACATAGAATAGAAAGAATAAACCGGAAACACTCCATTCTTAGCTCGTATCCACCTCAATTCGTCCTCCCACCCCATTCTCCACCTAGCCTCATAAAGCATTGCAAGTAAATTACCACTCACTCACTGCGCTCATATAAGAACCAAGCAATTTACTACCATAACCTCTCTTTCAGCTACTAAACTTAACAAATGAGGAACTTTGTCGCATAGAGGTTGACACCCACGTCAAGAGTTTCTCCAAAACCTAATATGTTGCCCATGCCTCAACACCAATTCAATATGATTAGTAAAATTCCTCTTTGCCCATCTAGGAAGCACGGTCACCCTTCCCAGTGGAGTTTCGTGGCAGTGTCGGATACGTGTCCAACACGGGTAGAAGTGTCCTGAATAGTGAACCTAGTCGAACATAGCTAGGATACGTCTAGGACACGTCTATGATATTTAAAAAAAATTGTTGAATATTAAAAGAGTTGTTATTTTTTTAATATAATTTTTGTTATATAACTTATATACTATGAATGTAATAATGTTTGATGAAAATGATAAATATTTATTTTGATCTATTTTAATTTTAATCAAAAAATTAATATTTGTTAGGTCGTATTATTAATATTGTTATAATATGCTTTATTTCTTAATATATTATAACTATATTATTATTTAAAAAACATATTACATTATTTTAATACTCGTATCCTTGCCGTACACGTGTCTTATATTTTTGAACTTTCCCATATTCCTGTGTTCGTATCCGTTCTTCCTAGTTACTCATAGTATGTCCTTATATTCTTATCACAGGGGTTAATCTACCTATATTGTGGTCCAGTCCGCTTGCCTGTTTCTGCATTTTCCTGCAATAACTTTCCTCTAATCACCCTCTCATTAGATGAAGCAGATTTCCGCAACCATTGCCCAAAAAATTCATATCAATGATGCATGTAAAGCATCAAGATTCCCAACAAATAATAAACTCGCTCCCCTTAAGCCTTAAGGCTTCTATTCTTGGCAACATCATAGAGTCATACAAATGTTAAAGACCAAGCTAAAATATTGACACTAGCAATACATCACATCGAGACAACAAATAGTCAATGATCAACATTTTGTTTGAAAACATTCAAAACGTTTTCGTTTCCAAAGAGACCGAAACAAATCAGTGATAGAATTAAAATTCTAAAACTTTGAGTTTTTCATAATGTTTTGAGGTGTTTGGTAATATTTCAATGCATTTGAACAATTGTTTCGAAATGTTTTGAGATATTTCAAGATACTTTGGTATATTTCGATCAATGTTTTAGAAAAATAATTCTTAAATTTTTTATTTTTTTCATTCTATTTCTGAAACAGGTAAAAACGTTTGCAAAATACATCAAAACGTTTATGTTTCCTACATGATCAAAATAATGCACCGAAATGNCATTCTATTTCTGAAACAGGTAAAAACGTTTCCAAAATACATCAAAACGTTTATGTTTCCTACGTGATCAAAATAATGCACCGAAATAAAATTTTGACCCTTGCAATTAGTCTTCACAATACGAGTCCTGTAAACGAGGGAAAGGAACAGGACCATACGCCCACCCACCCCTCTTCTGATGCAAGACCCGCACATGAATGCAACAGAAATTATGAAGAGGATATGTTTTCTTGACATGCATGGACATTAAAATGCATAAATAAATAGAAAAATAAAATGTGATAAAGCAGGTATCCATCCCCAGTTGAGAGATGCAGCACATGTTCCTAAGTCAGATTCATTCCTCAAGGAGTTTTCCTAAGCCCAAAGAGGTTCATCACAGTCAGGCCTCGGCACTAGCACATTATAAATCGGTTCCTCTTTATCACTGCTTGAATCTATACTTCAATGCTATCATGAAAGAACCAAGAAAGATTGTCTTCAGATATTATGTCCAATGCTTTATGTATGCAAGCAATAATAAACAATAAAATGTGTGTCCTCGAGCAACCATTAACCATACCATTCTCTTATGAAAGAACTAGAATGCTTTTACACAGAATTCACATGAAGAAGAAACAATTAATATTCTGCCTAGCAACACTGATATGGAGTGTCCAACTAATACAAACATGCATATATGTGTAACTCCACTGTAGGATGGGGGTCCGGCTCCTCTGCAGTAAGTTTTTAACGGCAGAGCGGTTACCACAGAGGATCCTCACCCCTAGGATGGTAGGATCTGCAGGTAGTAGGGGTATGTATATTAAATTTGGAAACTTCAGAAGAACCATATACGAGGAACATGGAATACAATTGAACAAACGTACCTTTGCTTACTTGCCTCCATTCCTCTATTTGCTTTCCTTTCTGAAGCTGCTCATTATTCAAATATTCTCTGGTTGATAAATTCAATGACCAAATACGTAAATTTTGACAACTGCTTATGAAGTCAAGCAGGATGCTTTGGGGATTATTGGGATCAGAACTTCTGTCTTCCTTATGAAATGACAAAATCTTTCTGGTTGTCTCCATCTACAAACGGATTGTGATCTCTAAGTCAGAACTATATTTTTTTAGATGTCAAATGACAGGAGCAAACATCAAAAGCCCTCACACCAACATGAAGCATGATGATGATACTAATTTCGAACTAAACATCCAGAACTAATATGTAATAATTAAATAATTATGCCATATGACCAAGAAAGCTCATAAGAATCACATAGTAGCCATTAAAAGCCAAAAAGTTAAAACATTCAGGCACAACCTTTCTAGAGTCTGTATTTAAAGCACTCATCACAAAATCAATGCGGATTATCTGAGCCAGCAACCAAGTGACATGATTTGTCCTAAGAATGTGGTGATCACCCTCCTGTAGCCGTGCAACTAACTTGTCCACAAAATCAACAAAATCCATGCAACCACTTTTCATGAGAAAAAAGAATATATCTGAAAAGATGAGCCACTCTTGCCAGCAATTTATCTCTGTCAGAAATTGGAAAGACATGATTAGCTTAGATATTAGGAAAAACACACACACCTATTTAACTTTCTCTGCAATATAACACTCTAAAAGTGCTTATGATAAATAAGCAACAAGAAATATCAACTAAAAGTATTAGTAAGAAGAAGAAAAAGTCATGACAGAAATTAGTTCAGAAACTCATAAAAAGAAAAGGAAAAAGAGACAATCACATCAAACTAGTGGTAAGCTGTAACATCACAGCTATGAACTCCTCAATATTAGAGATAAAACATTTCAAGCAGGGACAAAATCAGAAATTTGTCCCAAGGGGCGCCAACATTGTTTTATGGCTGTTGGAAAATTTTATAGTAAGTTGACGAATAAAATTAGAGCACGCAAAATTCACATGACAAAATGTTGTCTACGAACTTGAATAGTTCAAATTTAGACATTGAGAAAAATTACAAACTTGAATAGTTCAAATTTAAATACCCAATCCTAAAACTCTTATACAACTCCTCTTAACTATCTTTCTAGACTCAGTAAAAAAANTCTAAAAGTGCTTATGATAAATAAGCAACAAGAAATATCAACTAAAAGTATTAGTAAGAAGAAGAAAAAGTCATGACAGAAATTAGTTCAGAAACTCATAAAAAGAAAAGGAAAAAGAGATAATCACATCAAACTAGTGGTAAGCTGTAACATCACAGCTATGAACTCCTCAATATTAGAGATAAAACATTTCAAGCAGGGACAAAATCAGAAATTTGTCCCAAGGGGCGCCAACATTGTTTTATGGCTGTTGGAAAATTTTATAGTAAGTTGACGATTAAAATTAGAGCACGCAAAATTCACATGACAAAATGTTGTCTACGAACTTGAATAGTTCAAATTTAGACATTGAGAAAAATGACAAACTTGAATAGTTCAAATTTAAATACCCGATCCTAAAACTCTTATACAACTCCTCTTAACTATCTCTCTAGACTCAGTAAAAAAACTCTTTAACTTTTGGGTGTCGAAATCTGTTTAATTTTTATTCAAAAAAAAAAAANTCCGCAACCATCAGGTACCCAAATTCACTCTCATACCAATATCAACCAAACTTTCTCAATTAACTTACTTTTGGACCAAGGGGAAGCGAACTGTAGTTATCTTTCTCAATCTCAATCATCACAGACTTCGTATAGAGAACTTTCGAGACATTTTGAGATGGCCAAACAAAGAGTTGTAATGAAAAAATATATAGGCCTCCAAGATACATTCTCTCCTTTGCCTTGGGGCAAACGTCAAAATCTACATTTTGGCAGTTACCCCGGGAAATATGTCTTCATTTCCTTACTAAAAAAAATGCATGGGTCAATCTCACATTCTTAGGGACATAAATTCACTAAGTTTATAAATGAGATGTGAAACATATGTGCAACCTACTCTGAGATCAGGATTCAATGGTGGGCTAACCATAAAACGTTCAGCCAATTTTAATGGGTTTATCCAATGAAGCAAGGCACAGGAATAAGAGAAAAGATAACTTGGGAATTCAATGGAGCAGGCTTTGACTTGTTTGGTGGCATTTATAGTTAAATTGTTTGGTGCATTATTAATTTAAGGTTAATAAGCTGGCTAGGATTATGTTTGNCAATGAAGCAAGGCACAGGAATAAGAGAAAAGATAACTTGGGAATTCAATGGAGCAGACTTTGACTTGTTTGGTGGCATTTATAGTTAAATTGTTTGGTGCATTATTAATTTAAGGTTAATAAGCTGGCTAGGATTATGTTTGTTAGGTTTTAGTGTTAATCTTGCCTTGGTAATTATGATACCTGCTGGACATGGGTTGTAACTACTTATCAATGGGTCTTAACTTTGGACTAGTATGTTATATGGTAGTGTCCAGTAGCGCATTATGACAAATTGAAATTGTTTTGAGGAATAAATAACGTAGTATTACTCCTACAAATTAAACTATTCACATTTAATTCAAATTAGTAAGCTCGTGCTTAAGGAATGATAATATTTGCACAAACATAAGAAATGAAAGTATTTTGGCCTTCTCACATAAGCCAATCTAAACCCAAAAGAAAGTATTTTGGCCTTCTCTCATAAGCCAATCTAAACCCAAAAGTAGTTTATTTAGAAAAAAATCCGATAACTCATTGATTCGTTTGGTATTCAAATATATGCTTCATTAACCCCAAAAAAAAAAAAACTATCATTTTTAGTTGAACCAAAAAAAAATTAAGACTACAAATTAGAGGTATAAGAAAGGTTATTATACTCCGNTTGGCCTTCTCTCATAAGCCAATCTAAACCCAAAAGTAGTTTATTTAGAAAAAAATCTGATAACTCATTGATTCGTTTGGTATTCAAATATATGCTTCATTAACCCCAAAAAAAAAACTATCATTTTTAGTTGAACCAAAAAAAAATTAGGACTACAAATTAGAGGTATAAGAAAGGTTATTATACTCCGGTGAGGGTAAAGCATGACTTCTATTCTCGACTACTGCTCCACCTCCTCCTCCTCCCCACTTCATACAAGTGTTCATACCCAAAGTTCACACTCTTCGAAAACTGAAAAAACGTAACTCTATTCCTTCTCAGCAGTTATAACTTCATTCAGCTCTATGAACCGCTTTCCAGCCCTGGAAAATTAACAAAGTCCAACCCCTTCCACCATCGACATTCTATCCTACGAGACCAAGAGAATCAAGAAAACCCAAGACTACTATTCCCTGAGTTACTTTTCATAGGAACAACTAGTTGAACAATCCCTCAAGGCCTTGTTTTCTGCAGTCAACCCCTTCCCCAGCCAAGACCTAACCAAACCCTTCTTCTCCAACTTAAAAAAAATGTTTAAAACCCTAAAAATTGCTGTCCAGAGCTTCAAGAAATCTTTCTTTTTGCTGCCCCAATTCAACTCGGGTCTCATGTTGGAGACTGTCTCACCACACCTGTCCTACATCATCAGACTCTCCAAGAATAACCTTTTCGTCAAAGGTTTCTTTTTGCACCCCCAACATATTCCAGCTCCCTAAACATCCTAGTAAATCCTAACCACGATATGGAAAGAATAGGAAGCCTAGTAGTGATGTATCGGAATACTTATGGACCAATGAGTAGTATGTCAATGTTATAGTGTGATGTTGCCGAATACACGTGCTGCAGAAACATGATTCTAATTCTTCTTCTACGTCGTCATCTTCATATGTTAGAACTGTTCGATGTGCAATCAATTTTTCGATGTGCAATCAATCTGAAAACCACTCTTTTCAACCCAAGAATTACTGATGACCAAAAAATAAACGATAATCCTAGGATCCCTTGTTTAACTAACCCCGTCATTTCTGTCAACAAAGACTCAACCATCACAACCCGAAACTCAAAAGGAATCGAACTTTTTGTTTCCACAGTTAACACCAATAATGGTCCCAAAATCTCTCTTTCCTGGGTTTTTTGGTAATCCCAAATCCATGTGCCCTAGTTACACAATCAACAAAACCTAATATCTGATAACGTCTCTAGGCTCTAAGCCACATAATCCAACAAATCATGACCATAAAACCCTATCTACTGCTTCCGAACATCATTATACTAGNTGGTAATCCCAAATCCATGTGCCCTAGTTACACAATCAACAAAACCTAATATCTGATAACAAANAACAAATCATGACCATAAAACCCTATCTACTGCTTCCGAACATCATTATACTAGTAGGAGAGTGTTACCCACTCTTTTCTACAATGTTGCTTATTTATCCGTCTCTGACGAGGAGGTACCTAAACCTCTAAGAGTACCCAATTCAATCATTGCTTTAACTTCAACAAGTTCCTGATAGCCAGTGACTTCCCCCTTTTTAGGTGCCCCGGGGGGGTGTTCCCAGTAGCTTTGTGTCCTTTACAACAATGCTTTGATCTGTGTATATAAAAGGTTGTACCATTGTCAACATGTTAATAGTTCCCGAAGCATTTAGTACAAGAAAGCATATAATCATGCCATAAATGTGCTGCACCACAACTTGAAAGCAATATGCAATACTTACTCTGAAATGTATTTCAAATGGAAGGAGAAACAACTCAAAAGTATTAAACATGAGAACATTACCTGAATTTGTCAACTTCAATAGTTCGACAATTCTATCAATTGTTGCCTCACAGATCATGTCAAAAGTGAAAACAGCACCAGGAGTAGGTCCTGGAGCAAGAGACCTGTAACAAGGAGCCGCAACAAGCACACGTCTCCACCAGTCAGGTGATGGAGTATTACGAAGAGCGTGCCTTATGCAACGCAAAGCTCTCTCCCAGTCCAGACTACCCCTTTGTATAGATGATGCAAGATCCTATAAACCAAAAAAGAAACTTTTAAACCCAAGCTTTCTATAAATGTGGTATTTAATGACTGCCTTTCAATGTCCTTGTGACCAGCAACTACATGCATCTATTGTTGCGGCAGACCAGCTAAAAATAAAACCCAGCATATGAATCCAATATAGCAATCCATATCTTGGAATTTTTATGTATCAAATTTACAGATTACTAGCTCATAAAGTTTAATAGCTGAATCACAGATGTTAGGAATTCTTGGTGTTTTTATATGTTTTCATAGAATCATGAATTTTAATAAAGAAAGAAAGGTAAGGAAAGTGTGGATAGGCAATCTGACCATTAATACAACAGAGTAGAACACAAAGACATAGAATTACAATAACTACCAAACAAAATTAAGCTCCCTTACGCAAAGGCGGAATTCCAATTTTGATGAATTAAAAAGAGAAAATCCCCAAAATTCTTTAGTGACCGATGCCCATAGAAAAGCCAAGAACTTCACTTTTTCCTGCAGAACCAATACTCATCTTCATTCTCACATATTCTATTGCTTTCTATCCAAAGCACGGAGACCCTTTTACTTTTCCTAAAGCCTTTATAATACTCCACAAATAAAGAAATACGATTGTATGAGTTTACCCAGTCCAACCTCACCTCCCTGTGAATTAAAATTCTTATAATATCATCAGCCAAGTCTCTGCAGAGGTTCAATTTTCAAATTTGGAGGAAAGATCAATTTGGCCAGAAAAATGACACATGTCACCAGTACACAAGTATATTTGATGAATATGTAGACGTAGATTACTCCTCTCCCCCCACGCCCAATCCTTTGAATAACCCTGCCTACATCTTATTCTGTTTTTTTCTTCTTTTAATGGCCCAACTTCACAGAAAAATTTTAAGTATCCATTTCAATGAATTTCTGATAATTGTTCTTTATCGCTTTTCTACCTTTTTATACTAAAAGAAATCCAAATCTCAAAGACAAATGTTTGTATATGTCTAGATAAATATGCTACATGTTTGGAATAAAGAATTCTTCTATTTTCATTTCATTACACATCTAATATACATCAAACTCATCATGTGAGCATCAAGACGTATCAATGCCCAGAACCATCAGCATCCAATGTGTCTATCGTGACAAACTTCAAACTGGATTTGTCCAACATGGACATGACCTAGAAATTTCCATGCTTATGTAGTCATGATGATGGTTTTCACAGTTTTGGAGACGAGGGATGAAACCAACTGATGCTTAAGATAAGGCTCAACAGTGATAGAAGCTGAAGTTCAGAGTTCATGAAAACAATTGGTTTTCTGGTTAACAGCAAAGACAAAACAATGGGTGATGATCTAAAGAATGATGTTGCTGCACAGGTGGCAAAGCCACAGTCGACCATGGGGATCAAACAAGTGATGTGGATACAGGATGGTGCAATTAATGGCGATAATAAGGATTAGAATTGGATAAATGAGGGGTTAAACAAAATCTGGCCAAGTAGGGAAAAAAGGCAAAGGAGAAAGAAAGAGGCTGTTCCTTGCATCTATCAATCAAAAACATATAATGATCAACAAAAAGAATAACCGACAAGGCAAAGAAAAAGAAAATTTTGCAAATAAGAAACCCAAAAAAAACATTAAGTAATAGAAGGAGGACAGGAACCTTGAGAGGGATGGAGAGGGCATCCCCAAGAAAGAGTTAAAAATAAATCATCCAACAAAATTTATTTTGAATTAAAAAATTGCAATCCAACNTTAAGTAATAGAAGGAGGACAGGAACCTTGAGAGGGATGGAGAGGGCATCCCCAAGAGAGAGTTAAAAATAAATCATCCAACAAAATTTATTTTGAATTAAAAATTTGCAATCCAACAAATAATTATAGCTTACAAACATAATAATTATAGTTTCCTTCACTCTTGTTAGGTAAACTTACATTTGTCAACTCCTCAGCTCATTCACGTGAGTAAAAGATTCTCAAATTCTACTCGCCACTTCTCCAACTACCATAATTGTTAATCAATTTAACGGTAGAGAGAAATCGTTCACTCAAATGGACCTTACATCAACTGTCGAATCTCGCACCACAACGGAGAGTTGAGTTACATACTGTGCATCCTTTCCTAAAACTTTTTTTTTTCACAAGAGATGAAATAGTATTGATCAAGAAAAAAACACACAGGAAGTGGAATTGTGGACAAATAGTTCAAAACCAACCATGCTCAACATGCAAAAAAGCAATACATAGAAAACGTCAATATTATATAACCAAACTATAATATATCCTACTTATAAATGTCAGCATTTGCGAAAAAAATTTAATTTCCTATTTTATCCCTAATTATTATGATAAAGTCAATTCTACCTACCTATATACTTATCTAATTTTATTTTTTACACCTATTTGACTTTTAACTTGTTTTAGACTAATTTATAAGAAGTTCAAAATTCTTTTGAACTCATTTATTAGTAGTACAGTTACATATAATTATTGATTTATATCTATATAAAGAAGTAAAATCTTATATTTGTTAAATTATTATACACATATAGTTACAAGTTGAATTCCAAGATCAAATATATGTTCTATTTTATTTTTTGGTACGCAATAATATAATAATATTATAAGCGATATAATCAATCTATTTAACAAAATAAAGATTATTAATTCTATAATATAATTAGATATGCAAATGCTTAAAAAGGTCGAAAAAATACCTAAATAAATGANTACGCAATAATATAATAATATTATAAGCGATATAATCAATCTATTTAACAAAATAAAAATTATTAATTCTATAATATAATTAGATATGCAAATGCTTAAAAAGGTCGAAAAAATACCTAAATAAATGTCAAATTACAACGTTACATACTCAAACTTATAGAATAAATCAATAATTAAAATATGAATTAATTATTTGGCACCAAATTTATTATTTAATTTAATTACACATATAATTCACATTTTCTATAAAAATAACATTACTTAAATTTGTTTTCGTGCATTGCATTCCTAGTGCACATAAGCTCTCCAAAGTCCAAACCAATGAGATAGAATATCCTCAAATTCCTTGGTTATTAAAGCCCCCAGATTCATCCCATAATCCTTCCACCATCGCACGTCTCTCTTCACAAATTCTAAAATTTCTTTCTAACTAGAATTGCACATCCCCATAGGATCAACCTTTTCTCAAAATCTGTAAAATCCTTAACAAATATGGAAGTAGCCTGAGGGATATACCGTAAAGATGCTAAAGTGCAGAAGTTATGTCAAAAAGAAAATACTGTAAGGCAATCAAAGAAAAGATGATCAACAATCTTACTACTAGGCAAGCACAAAACAAACGAGAAAGAAAAGTTTTTGGTCTTCTCATTCCAAGCAAATCATTGATATTAATCTTTCCATAAGTTATCAATCCATGCACAACCTTGCACCTCATAGTCATTTTAAACTTCCAAATCATCAAAGAAGACAAGAAGAGTGGACATAAATGATCATCCATCAAAAATTTGAAGAATGACTCACAAGAGAAAATCCATGATAATTCGACGATCAACATCTTTAATCAATTGGTATAATTCAAAATAAGGTCATCAAGCACATACAGAAGTGATATCAACTATAGGGTTTCTCTATCCTTTGTGAAACCCAAAATCCCAATAATCAGATCAGAGTAAGAGAAAGACCCAACCATAAGGTTTCTATATTCATAGTTATTTACCTACTAATGCAACATTTCTTACAATTAAATTTCCCACCAATGACCTCCTTTACTAGATCTATGAACCAACTCCCAATTAATAAAATCTATTTTCACTCTCTCTCCATTCCCACAAGAAATCTCTCATCTTTGATAATTTTTCTACCACCTTGAATTGTACCTTAAAAAGAGACGTAGCAAAAAGAAATACTAGTCACTGGACTAACATTAACCTTTCTCCATTTCAAATAGACTCTTTTTCACCCATCCAATTCCCCTTTTTTTTAATTATTGGGTCCAAAAAAGCCAACGACAATGAACTTACACCCAATGGAAGACTTAAGTGCTTTAAAGACCATTTACCAAAAGAACATCTCAATCTTGCAGCCGCCTAATAATCTTATCATGATGAGAATTATACAAATTATTAAGATGTCTCCATATTAACTATTCTACCCTCAAACTAATCCAAACGCTTAGGTTACCTTCTTAAAATTCAAAAATCTTTTATCATTCCCAAAGAAAAAGAATAAGGTATCATCAATAAATTGCAAGTGCAAAATGAAACTCTTGTCCTTCCTCGTCTCAAATTTTTCCACTAAATTACACTTGTCATCCCTCACAACTAACCTACTCAACCTATAAACCAATGATGGAAAAGAAAGGAAACTAAAGGATCACCTGCCTAAGTTTCTCACATGCCTTAAAACTAACCATTGACTTACCATTCCAATTCATTGAATACCAACAACCTATAATCTAGTTCCTCGATCTACTTCAATGTCTTTTCAATTCCAGTACATAATCCACATTATCATAAGACTTTTTAAAAGCAATTTTTCTTTAAAAAAAATCCCTCCATCTTAATACATCTATAATTCTCATAAAATAATCAAAATTATGTTTTGAAAAGGCCAAAATATTTCCGTTTCCAATGAGATCAAAATGAGGCAGTGATTAACTTAAAATTTCAATGTTTTAATGTATTTTTCAATGTTTCAAAGTATTTCAAGATATTTGGGCATGTTTCCACCGATGATTTGGAATGTTTCAAGGTGTTTCAAGATGGTGGACTCTATTCAATTAATGTTTCGGGCAAAACATCCCCAANGCAGTGATTAACTTAAAATTTCAATGTTTTAATGTATTTTTCAATGTTTCAAAGTATGTCAAGATATTTGGGCATGTTTCCACCGATGATTTGGAATGTTTCGAGGTGTTTCAAGATGGTGGACTCTATTCAATTAATGTTTCGGGCAAAACATCCCCAAATTTTTTTTCATTTTCATTATGTTTTTGAAACATTTTCATTTCTTAGGTAATCAAAACGATGCATCGAAACGAAATTTTGATCCTTGTTCATATCTACCTCATTAGTCACTAAAGCCACATCTGAGATTTGAAACTCCAAAACGATATCACTATGAAACTCCTCAATCTCATAGATAATTCTTTATCGTTGTCTAAACATTTTGCTTTCCTAATTGCTAACTTCTAGCTTTTTATAAAAACTTATACCAAGATTTAGAACAAAACTTCATGAACTTGTTTTCCTTCAAGTTGGTGTTTTTAATATCTCTCAAATAATGACTTCTCTACACTTGATTCCCTCTCTTTTCATGTATATGAGGCATCTTTTGTGTATTTTGGTTAGGGGTGCAACTTGGGCGGGCCGACCCAAATTCAACCCGAGCCCAGCCCGAAAAAAATAGAGCTTGAGTTAGAATTTTTAATACTTGGGTTGGGCCTGAGCAAAAAAACTCAACCCGAATTAAATATGGGCAAGCCTTTGGTTGAGACCTCGAGTTGTCGAGTTGAACCCGAATATTAAAATTGGGTTAAACTCGATTATTAAATCAGGTTGAACTCGAATATACATAAATATATNTCAATGTTTCAAAGTATGTCAAGATATTTGGGCATGTTTCCACCGATGATTTGGAATGTTTCGAGGTGTTTCAAGATGGTGGACTCTATTCAATTAATGTTTCGGGCAAAACATCCCCAAATTTTTATTTTTTTTCATTTTCATTATGTTTTTGAAACATTTTCATTTCTTAGGTAATCAAAACGATGCATCGAAACGAAATTTTGATCCTTGTTCATATCTACCTCATTAGTCACTAAAGCCACATCTGAGATTTGAAACTCCAAAACGATATCACTATGAAACTCCTCAATCTCATAGATAATTCTTTATCGTTGTCTAAACATTTTGCTTTCCTAATTGCTAACTTCTAGCTTTTTATAAAAACTTATACCAAGATTTAGAACAAAACTTCATGAACTTGTTTTCCTTCAAGTTGGTGTTTTTAATATCTCTCAAATAATGACTTCTCTACACTTGATTCCCTCTCTTTTCATGTATATGAGGCATCTTTTGTGTATTTTGGTTAGGGGTGCAACTTGGGCGGGCCGACCCAAATTCAACCCGAGCCCAGCCCGAAAAAAATAGAGCTTGAGTTAGAATTTTTAATACTTGGGTTGGGCCTGAGCAAAAAAACTCAACCCGAATTAAATATGGGCAAGCCTTTGGTTGAGACCTCGAGTTGTCGAGTTGAACCCGAATATTAAAATTGGGTTAAACTCGATTATTAAATCAGGTTGAACTCGAATATACATAAATATATAAATATATTTAACTAGAGTTAGTATTTATCTTCACTCTTTAGAGTCCAGAGTTTCAGTTCACTTCAAGTCTTCACCTCTGTGCCTCCATCACTCTCAGATCACTCTCTCACTCATCACTCCTCCCTCTCTTAATCGTCACTCATCTGAGTCGTCTTAGACTCTCAACCTCCCTCTCTCACTCCTTCTCTCTTCATCTGCGCATTGCTCTTCATCTCAGATCACTTGAAAAAATTAGATCTACACTTGAAAAAATCACATCTACACTTCAAAAAATCAACCCAAATTAAGTAACCCAAACCAACTCAATTGTTAATTCGAAATCAGCTCAAATTAATTAATCCGAATTCAACCCGAGCCCACCCAAATTAAACTCGGACAGTAATCGAATTGAGTACGTCGGGTTGAAGTAGGATTAGGGTTAGGGTCGAAGATTATATACCTAGGGTTGACCTCTCAACCCGCCCGAGTTGCGCCCCTAATTCTAGTAAAGGGTGAAACAAGAAAAAGATAAATTGGGGATTTCAAACGAAAATAGCATTGGATTTTTTTAATAAAGTTTTTTATGTTGATCCAATACATACCATGTCAATTTTGCATTTCATAGTTTGAGAGTCAAAGTTACTTTTATATGTGAATTGCTACACTATTTCTAATGGTGGTTTATGAGTCTTATCTTGGATCATGTTATAGGATCCTCAATAGTGATTTTTAAGGACTAGGGACAATCAAATTCTAGTTCCAACAATTTAGGCAACTCTCCTGGAAGCTTGTCACCTTTTTCTTTGGCCATTGAGATCTCCCCAATCATAGTTGTCTAGAATTTCCTTTCCTAAAAAGGAAGAAAAATCTCCATATGTCTGGACCTGATTCTTTGGAATCCCACAGCCAATCACCCTGCAGACCAAACAATGTCACCTGGAGCATGGAACATTACACTACATACCCAAAGAAGTGGTATTTTTGCGGGATATGCTGACAAATATTCCATACACTAAAAAAATGTGTTGACATATTTATACTATGAGAGGATTGTCATTGAGACAAGATGATAAGTGAAACAACATATTGCTTGAAACAATTTGGCACTGCGAATCATGTTTTGAAATGTTTAATTGTAATACTCAATTCCCTAAGCCATAACCATTTTTGTCATCTATGGGACGACGCATAGCCCAGTCCTTTTCGGTCCAAAATATCAGGTACCATTTGAGACTGATGTCAACCATAAAACTAAAAGCTTTCTATGCTTACCCATGGCAGAGTCAATCATAGGCAGTGATGTTTATTTTAAAATATGATCCTCACATGTGCACAAGAAATGTACCTGGTCAAACGGTTCCATTTCTGTATACGAATTATTAATGCCTCAAGGAAATTTAAGGATAAAACATCTGAATGTGAAACCATCTATAACATCATAATCACAGAAACCTCAAAAAAAATCTTAAGATTGTTGTGTCATGTCGCTAATCAACGTCTATTATAATTACCAAAAACTAGCAAAGGCTCGTTCCCCGCCTTCCACAATCGCCTTCCACAATCAATAATGTGTTTCTCCACTAATAAAAATTAAGTTAGACGTTACTCTTTCCGTAATCCCATGAACTTCACCACTAGCTTGAACCTGGGGACATCTCTCCTACTCAACTTCAACCAGTTATGTCATTTAACTACGCTTCATTATGTTTATTGATAAAAGTTTTGTTTCTAAATCGAAATAAAAATAACCCTTTTTGCTCAGCTGCTCATTGGATGTCTGAAGAAGAGTGTGTTGTGTTGACGAGGATTTCTGGAGTTAGGTGAATGTTTAATGGCTTCACAATAGGCATCTGAATCCAACGATTTCAGAGGCATCCATTTAGATTAATTTTGAGCAAGTAGTGTGTGATTATCTAAACTACATTGGAAGGGATTACTCTATATGGTGCCTTGAGCTACATACTCAATAGCAAAATCAAATTCAACTTCTATGGTGGAGGCTTTGGGAGGCTACTGTCAATGGGTACCAGTTGAGGTCTACCTTAAATCCCCCTGGGCCAGGAGTAAGACAGGGTAGAATCCTTTTTCTGTTAAAACAAATTCTCAGCACATACAGATTTCTGTCAATCCTTCAATCTGCTTCTCATGATTCTCAGTGGCTGAGAGCCCACGCACAAAGATGCAATTCTCAGGAGTGCACAAAAAAAAAGAATCGGAAATGATCGATATATTTCTCGAAACAAACGAAAAGGAAAAGAATGATGAAACATAATCATGAATCAACTATACTCACATATCCCAAACAGGTGAACATTTGATTTCCAATTGAAATAAATAAACTATAGATATTTAAGAAGGTACTCGGAAAATTTTCTTTTGAATTTCATTATTATTCTAATCATGGGCACTTTAAAGTCGCTGGTGGGTTGGGTAACGGCCTATTCTTTTCAATCTTGGCAATGTGCCAACTTATTGGATAAAATAGTTGATTTAATATCATCTCAAAAAACTTTTCAATCCTGGAATTGTGCCAACTTATTGGATAAAATTGCTGATTTAATGGTGTCTCAAATGTTAAGATCAACTGGATTGCCAGATCAGATAACAAGAAGAACATACCTCCTACGAAGTGCAGGGCCTCTAATTTGTCAAACTACAGGCTATGTGGATGTCTTGGTGTTTCCTCTTTCTTAATCTAATGTACTATTTATCCACTTGTAATTTATTCTCTGANATATAAATATATTTAACTAGAGTTAGTATTTATCTTCACTCTTTAGAGTCCAGAGTTTCAGTTCACTTCAAGTCTTCACCTCTGTGCCTCCATCACTCTCAGATCACTCTCTCACTCATCACTCCTCCCTCTCTTAATCGTCACTCATCTGAGTCGTCTTAGACTCTCAACCTCCCTCTCTCACTCCTTCTCTCTTCATCTGCGCATTGCTCTTCATCTCAGATCACTTGAAAAAATTACATCTACACTTCAAAAAATCAACCCAAATTAAGTAACCCAAACCAACTCAATTGTTAATTCAAAATCAGCTCAAATTAATTAATCCGAATTCAACCCGAGCCCACCCAAATTAAACTCGGACAGTAATCGGATTGAGTACGTCGGGTTGAAGTAGGATTAGGGTTAGGTTCGAAGATTATATACCTAGGGTTNGAGGTGTTTCAAGATGGTGGACTCTATTCAATTAATGTTTCGGGCAAAACATCCCCAAATTTTTATTTTTTTTCATTTTCATTATGTTTTTGAAACATTTTCATTTCTTAGGTAATCAAAACGATGCATCGAAACGAAATTTTGATCCTTGTTCATATCTACCTCATTAGTCACTAAAGCCACATCTGAGATTTGAAACTCCAAAACGATATCACTATGAAACTCCTCAATCTCATAGATAATTCTTTATCGTTGTCTAAACATTTTGCTTTCCTAATTGCTAACTTCTAGCTTTTTATAAAAACTTATACCAAGATTTAGAACAAAACTTCATGAACTTGTTTTCCTTCAAGTTCGTGTTTTTAATATCTCTCAAATAATGACTTCTCTACACTTGATTCCCTCTCTTTTCATGTATATGAGGCATCTTTTGTGTATTTTGGTTAGGGGTGCAACTTGGGCGGGCCGACCCAAATTCAACCCGAGCCCAGCCCGAAAAAAATAGAGCTTGAGTTAGAATTTTTAATACTTGGGTTGGACCTGAGCAAAAAAACTCAACCCGAATTAAATATGGGCAAGCCTTTGGTTAAGACCTCGAGTTGTCGAGTTGAACCCGAATATTAAAATTGGGTTAAACTCGATTATTAAATCAGGTTGAACTCGAATATACATAAATATATAAATATATTTAACTAGAGTTAGTATTTATCTTCACTCTTTAGAGTCCAGAGTTTCAGTTCACTTCAAGTCTTCACCTCTGTGCCTCCATCACTCTCAGATCACTCTCTCACTCATCACTCCTCCCTCTCTTAATCGTCACTCATCTGAGTCGTCTTAGACTCTCAACCTCCCTCTCTCACTCCTTCTCTCTTCATCTGCGCATTGCTCTTCATCTCAGATCACTTGAAAAAATTAGATCTACACTTGAAAAAATCACATCTACACTTCAAAAAATCAACCCAAATTAAGTAACCCAAACCAACTCAATTGTTAATTCGAAATCAGCTCAAATTAATTAATCCGAATTCAACCCGAGCCCACCCAAATTAAACTCGGACAGTAATCGAATTGAGTACGTCGGGTTGAAGTAGGATTAGGGTTAGGTTCGAAGATTATATACCTAGGGTTGACCTCTCAACCCGCCCGAGTTGCGCCCCTAATTCTAGTAAAGGGTGAAACAAGAAAAAGATAAATTGGGGATTTCAAACGAAAATAGCATTGGATTTTTTTAATAAAGTTTTTTATGTTGATCCAATACATACCATGTCAATTTTGCATTTCATAGTTTGAGAGTCAAAGTTACTTTTATATGTGAATTGCTACACTATTTCTAATGGTGGTTTATGAGTCTTATCTTGGATCATGTTATAGGATCCTCAATAGTGATTTTTAAGGACTAGGGACAATCAAATTCTAGTTCCAACAATTTAGGCAACTCTCCTGGAAGCTTGTCACCTTTTTCTTTGGCCATTGAGATCTCCCCAATCATAGTTGTCTAGAATTTCCTTTCCTAAAAAGGAAGAAAAATCTCCATATGTCTGGACCTGATTCTTTGGAATCCCACAGCCAATCACCCTGCAGACCAAACAATGTCACCTGGAGCATGGAACATTACACTACATACCCAAAGAAGTGGTATTTTTGCGGGATATGCTGACAAATATTCCATACACTAAAAAAATGTGTTGACATATTTATACTATGAGAGGATTGTCATTGAGACAAGATGATAAGTGAAACAACATATTGCTTGAAACAATTTGGCACTGCGAATCATGTTTTGAAATGTTTAATTGTAATACTCAATTCCCTAAGCCATAACCATTTTTGTCATCTATGGGACGACGCATAGCCCAGTCCTTTTCGGTCCAAAATATCAGGTACCATTTGAGACTGATGTCAACCATAAAACTAAAAGCTTTCTATGCTTACCCATGGCAGAGTCAATCATAGGCAGTGATGTTTATTTTAAAATATGATCCTCACATGTGCACAAGAAATGTACCTGGTCAAACGGTTCCATTTCTGTATACGAATTATTAATGCCTCAAGGAAATTTAAGGATAAAACATCTGAATGTGAAACCATCTATAACATCATAATCACAGAAACCTCAAAAAAAATCTTAAGATTGTTGTGTCATGTCGCTAATCAACGTCTATTATAATTACCAAAAACTAGCAAAGGCTCGTTCCCCGCCTTCCACAATCGCCTTCCACAATCAATAATGTGTTTCTCCACTATTAAAAATTAAGTTAGACGTTACTCTTTCCGTAATCCCATGAACTTCACCACTAGCTTGAACCTGGGGACATCTCTCCTACTCAACTTCAACCAGTTATGTCATTTAACTACGCTTCATTATGTTTATTGATAAAAGTTTTGTTTCTAAATCGAAATAAAAATAACCCTTTTTGCTCAGCTGCTCATTGGATGTCTGAAGAAGAGTGTGTTGTGTTGACGAGGATTTCTGGAGTTAGGTGAATGTTTAATGGCTTCACAATAGGCATCTGAATCCAACGATTTCAGAGGCATCCATTTAGATTAATTTTGAGCAAGTAGTGTGTGATTATCTAAACTACATTGGAAGGGATTACTCTATATGGTGCCTTGAGCTACATACTCAATAGCAAAATCAAATTCAACTTCTATGGTGGAGGCTTTGGGAGGCTACTGTCAATGGGTACCAGTTGAGGTCTACCTTAAATCCCCCTGGGCCAGGAGTAAGACAGGGTAGAATCCTTTTTCTGTTAAAACAAATTCTCAGCACATACAGATTTCTGTCAATCCTTCAATCTGCTTCTCATGATTCTCAGTGGCTGAGAGCCCACGCACAAAGATGCAATTCTCAGGAGTGCACAAAAAAAAAGAATCGGAAATGATCGATATATTTTTCGAAACAAACGAAAAGGAAAAGAATGATGAAACATAATCATGAATCAACTATACTCACATATCCCAAACAGGTGAACATTTGATTTCCAATTGAAATAAATAAACTATAGATATTTAAGAAGGTACTCGGAAAATTTTCTTTTGAATTTCATTATTATTCTAATTATGGGCACTTTAAAGTCGCTGGTGGGTTGGGTAACGGCCTATTCTTTTCAATCTTGGCAATGTGCCAACTTATTGGATAAAATAGTTGATTTAATATCATCTCAAAAAACTTTTCAATCCTGGAATTGTGCCAACTTATTGGATAAAATTGCTGATTTAATGGTGTCTCAAATGTTAAGATCAACTGGATTGCCAGATCAGATAACAAGAAGAACATACCTCCTACGAAGTGCAGGGCCTCTAATTTGTCAAACTACAGGCTATGTGGATGTCTTGGTGTTTCCTCTTTCTTAATCTAATGTACTATTTATCCACTTGTAATTTATTCTCCTTGGGCTTCTTAATAGCATTGTGTTGTAATGAAAAAAATACACTTTCAAAACTTGGATAATGAGTTATTCGAAAATGTCATCACCTCTCCATGCAAGGGTTCTCCAAGCACACTTGGGTAGGTGATTGGCGAAAATCTCATGTGAGTCACTGGTTCACAAGATATATTAGTAGGTGCCTGAGGCAAAAGCCGAGGAGTACCAAAAGAAGGGCAGTGCAGGTGTTGATCTAACATTTGCATGTGCATAGCCATCATATCTCGCCTCCTATGGATTTCCAAAATAAGTGTAAATAATGCTTCATCATCCGGTATATTTTCTATGAACTGCAAGCCACTACGCAGTAGTTCATAAAATGGTACACGGCATTTATCATCCTCTACCAGCAGCCAAATCACATCCAAACAACTTCGAAGCCATTCAATTAGGGCCTTGTCAGGTTTCCAGGATTTTGCACCATCAGTCTCATCGATCCCCTGTTGTCTCTGATCCCAATTGACTAGCCAATTAAGCATATGGTAGAAAATATCAGCATGAGTGACTGGCTTTAAATAGGACTCGAGGCCAGTCAAAACTATCTTGCAACACAACTGGCGCAAACTACTTATAGCATTATCTCTGACAGATAAATTGGTCGCTATTGTAGTCTGTTGTCCTGTGCAGGTCATATCAGAAGGTTTTACCGGTAACAAAGTCACACAAGATGGCTCAGTAGCTGACTGAGATGGTGATGCAATACCATGAACTGAAGGCAAAGGAGATGCAGGATTTGAAGACTGAAAATTAGAGGAATTTGGGATTGTGCTGGATGACAGCAACGGACCAGACTGTGATAAATTTATAGAAGAGACAGCAGCCACTGGCTGACTCCCTTGACCAACTGATATCTCAGCTGAGGAAACTGAGGAAAGAAGGGAGGGCAGAAATGAATCCCAATATATGTAACCAATGCTGCACAAACTACGTAAAGCAAAGAGAAGAAATTCCGCCCGGGGTGCATGACCACTACACTGAGTAACCAAAGAAATAAGAACAGATTCTGTCAACGCACGTAGTTGCTCCTGGTCCTGAAAGAAAGTGTCAGCGCCATCAACAAGTAAGGACAAGGTCCCTGATCAAGTGAAACAAATGAGGAAATAAAACCATAGGGACCAGGCATAGGATGCAATAAATTTGAATTTAGATTCAGAACTTACAGAAAACTGGCTCTGAAGCTGCTCAAAATCTAAAAGGAATTGTTCATTTCGAGGTGGAAGTTCTCTATTAAGAGCAGTAACACGCTTCTGTGTTTTATTCCTGTATGTCAAATCTATTAGTATTGACAATCTATTAAAAAATTTCATTGCTTACTTAAAAAATTAGACATGGACGACACTAGACAGAAAATGAGCAGAAGCAACTTGACAAGTATTGCATGATATCAATTCATTGCTTGAAGCCAGAGACCACATATGCACTTCAGCAGAGGAAATTCATCGCCATAGTCTAGAATAGTATATGCCAATGCCATTTATGTGGCTAAGCGTCACTATAAGATTCATATGCCAACACTTGAACATGGATACATCTCAAAATAGTCTCTTTCTCATTCTACACATTAAGACTTGCACTTTGATCATCACTTTCTCATTAGGAAAAGGATTTTTTTATTTTTAATCCAAAAATAAGAATTTTCTGTTGAATGGGATCTGGGCTGATGGTGAATGGGATCTTGGCTGATGCTGCCACAAATATCACTATTGCCAAGTCTATATTAGTGTCTAGTGCCAGCCCCCATCACTGCCTCAAGTATTGTACACCAATGCGCCATGCTTTAGCTTCTTTGATATAATGTCTACTATAGTACTATGCCTGATCTCCTCTGGAATTGTGTGATATGAAGTGACGTTGATGTATTCATGGTGTTTTGTACCAGACATATCACCCTTCACATGCACAAACTCTAGGACTTTTTGTGGCCCTTCACGTACACTGAACTATTTGACTTCTTGTAGATTGTGTGCATGGTTTTGCATTTATTGAGTTAACTTATAGGGTTGTCTTCTCAATTATTTGAGCGGTAATATAGTGAATTAAGAAGCTCAAATCTTCCGCTTCTAGCCCAAAGTGTGTTGCTCACAGAAAATTGCTAAAAAACATAATGCTAATTTTTTTTAAAAAAATCATTACGTAGTGTGCTCAGATGGTAAGGCTAGATGCAAATCTAACCTTTGGCGTATATCCACTACTAAACCCATTGTTTCCCCAATAGCAAAGAACATTTCTTCTGATTAAACGGAAGTTATCAAAGCCAAACCAATCGATATTCAATAGGCCCACTTTATTGAGAAGAATATGGCGTGATTTTAGGCAAATAGCTGCAGAGAAAAAAAATGGTCAAACAAAGAATCATGTCTGAAGTTTAGTAAAGCATCTACCACTTTATCGTTTTCTCTAAATGTGTGGACAATTTTGAAATGGGAAGCCAATAATTTGGATGAAATTAAGCTCCAGTATGACTTAGCATTCTCGAGCTCATGTAAGAGTAGAGAATGACGTAAAGTAAAAACTTAGACTTAAATTATGCCCCACTATGACTTAGCAATGTCAAGCTCATGAAAGAGATGTGAAGAGCCTAAAGTAAACGATAGACTATCTTACTAGTAGCTACCGTGCTATCTCACTCATCATTGAATCATCCTTTTAGGATTTTTCTCGGTCCAAACTTGGGCATAAAGGGTCTTCTTAATAGTAGATAAAAATCCAAAGGTTATTATAATAATATACTACTCCGTATTAACATGAGTGGCCCTTAGTTTCCACTTTGTCTCTCCCTTAACCACTCACAATTAGAAAATTCCAGTTGGTCTCTTTTTCACAAAGCTAAATTTCTCAATTGTCTCACTCTATCTTTCTCAAACCTTTGTTTCCTCCAGTTTGTCAACATACCAGAGGGTTGCACACAGGCAACTCGTGCACGTGATTGAAAGCAAGGAACTAAATTTCGTTTCAAAATGTCTGAAACGTTTCTGTTTTCATGAAAACCGAAATAATATCAAAACTCCTNCAGGCAACTCGTGCACGTGATTGAAAGCAAGGAACTAAATTTCGTTTCAAAATGTCTAAAACGTTTCTGTTTTCATGAAAACCGAAATAATATCAAAACTCCTATGTCTCAAAATGTTTTGAGGTGTTTTGACATGCTTCGACCTATGTTTCGGTGTGTTTTGACCAATGTTGCAAAAATAAATTTTCAAATTTTCCTTTATTTACATCTTGTTTCTGAAATATTTTCAAAACATTATAAACATTTCTATTTTCAAACTCACCGAGACTATGTATCGAAACGAAATTTTAATCCTTGATTGAAAGAAACAAGAGAGTGGGAGAGAGTGAGTGATAGACATATAGAGAGAAAGATGAAAGTTACAAGGGATTAAGAGAATTTATACCTATGGTCACTCCAGGTGATTGAGAAACATTAGAAAGGAGCAGATTGGTTGAGAGAAAGAAAGAAAGAGAAAGCAATGGCATTATAGTTATTTCAAGCAGTGACCCAAAAAACTATCATCTTCTTTTCCTTAATCTATTATATATCATTAACGGAGAGACCCGGTTTGGTCTTTGATGTCTCCCAAATGTAGCGTATTTTCTACTTTTCTAACTGTCCGAAGGAAAATGCAAATAATCCTACACCCACATTTAAATTATAAATTACTCTAGCTACCCACACACATCCAGAATCCTACTTGATCTTGCAATCTGGACTTCCAACCCAAAAAAAAAAAATTCTAGAAATTCACATCTTTGGTGGTTGCATAACCCATAACCATCAATGCTATCATAACAAAGAGACCATCAAAGACCTTTGTACTACCATACCACTTCTACTACCTTGTGTTGTTTTGAATCACTTTTGATGAAACATTTAGCAAAGAATCCAGTCTTCCAACTTGAGAGCTCATCATGACTCCACAGGTATGTCACACTTCCTCGGACAAATATTTTGTTATCCTTTAATCTTTACCGAACGAAGCTTTACTTTTGTGCGTTGCATTTTTTTTTCTAGCATTTTGTGCACACTTTTGTCAACAAATGAAGAATTGTTTTTTCATAAGTATTAGCATGTCAATTCAATATTGTGCACATTTTTGAAATGAGTACTACTTTTGACTAGTGTATTGCGAATGTTGCTTGCAAAGATTTACATTAGAAATTCAATATTATGCACATCTTCTCAATTGGTAGCAATTTACTCTTTTTAACTATCCTTTTTGTACAAATTATCCAATGTATGTAAATATTTGTTATTAGCACGTCAATTCAATATATTGCACATTTTTCCAATGGGGTTTACTTTTGACTGGTGTATTGCAAATGCAAATGTTGCTTGCAAGCACTAAAAGAAGAAATGCAACATTGTGCACCTTTCAATGGTAAGTAACTTGTTCTCTTACCTATCTTTTCTGTACAAATGATCCTATATATGTAAAAATATTTGATATTACCCCCAAACATTTAGTTATTATTCATTATGACTTTACATGTATCACGAGTGGCCGAGTTGCTGGCTAATAATAACAGATGAGAGGAAAAAAAACACAAAATGATAAACGTTTGAAAGATCAAACTTCACTGTCTTACTCCCATACATTAAGAAATTTACGCAGAGTTCTCCTTGGAAAATTTGATATATCTAATTAATAAGAATTTAGAGCACCAGCATCGCATGTGCTACACTCTCTGATTGAACACTAAGCACTGTTATGTCCTCAAAAAAGATAACATTGCAATTAAGCTTATAAACCCCAATAAGAGAAACCGAAACAATAAGACCAAGCTATAAATTCAAAAATAAATAAAAGGGTTTGACGTACGGAAGTTCTCGAATCGAGTCATCTGATTTTTGGCGGACACTTCTCTGCAAAAAGAAAAAATTCAAGAAAAAAGTAACAAACGATTTTTAGTATTAATTGAATTAAACGTAATATATGATCAAAAGGATGAAAATAATCAAACCTACCCCTAAGTAAAGGTTGAAGAGATCGATAATGGCGGGTCTGGCAGGGTGGAATTGATGAGCTCTCAAAGCCCTTTGGTGGTTCTGGTCCATTTCTGGGTTGTTGGCTTGATTGGGCACGCTCGGTGATGCTGTGTACATGGTTATGTGGAGCAGAGTAGGGAATTTGCATAAGGGTTTTTCTTAAATGGTGTGTTTGGTTTCTGGGGGAAGGGAATAGTGAAAGCAAAAGAAAATCACACTGAGGAGAAAAATTAACAAAAAATAAAGACTTNATGGTGTGTTTGGTTTCTGGGGGAAGGGAATAGTGAAAGCAAAAGAAAATCACACTGAGGAGAAAAATTAACAAAAAATAAAGACTTTAGACAATCTCCAAAACCCAAATATTTACTGAAAAAAAAAAAATTTGATTTGATACAAACCTTTCCAACGAAAAATTTTAAATTTAAATCTTTTTTTAAATGAAGATAAACCCAAATTTTAAAGATGATAAATATAACTAACAGATTTTTAAAGATCGGCGTAATCTCACCGCTGTAAAAAGGTTAAAGATTTGAGGATCACTTAATTTGGACTTAAAAAAAAAAAATTCTTCATTTGGTGGGAATAACATTGAATAAAGTTTTTAAAAGTTTTTCATTCTTTTTAAAAAAAAAAATAAGTATAAAAAGAGTAAGAGTCGACTAACAAGGGTCCGATATGTTCGGTACCAAGTAAGATAAGCTGGATTCTGGACAGGTAAGAGTGTTGCTGTTCACTCCAGGAAGATACTCAGGAGGCTGAGGAAACGAGCCATCAATAGTTTTGACCAATAAGAAAGGGTTGCATCTGCTGATCCTAAAGGAGATAATTGGTGTAAGTCAACTTAAACGGTAGTAAGATTGGTGATGTGGGGAACTGAGAAAGACGAGCCAGCAGAGGAGGGAGTCACGCCAGAAGTAGCTAAAGCGGACTCCACATGATCAGAAGATGTAGGACTGGAGGATGATATACTGCCAGAAGCAGCAAGCAATTGACTAGTAGTATGATGGGCGGAACAAAAAGAATAAGACAAAAAATTAAAAGGTTGGTTGCTGGGTTGAGATTGGGAACAACACATACACAAAGCAACGGTATTGGTGGGGGCAAGAAGAAAACTAAATAAATGAATGCTGCTAGGTTAGGTCGTGAGACCCTCTGACAACATGCAAAGGTTTGAAAATTTTTCTTAATTCTTTATTTTTCTCATAAGAAATATATATACATTTTACAAAAGTATATAGAAAGAAAACTACAGTTGTCTATCTCATACTAACGAAATATTATTTTCATACTAAATAGACGATTTAACATAGAATCTTGATCGTATTCAAGTTCTTGCAAACATCCAATGACTTAGGGTTTCAAATCATAACTATGATCAAGGTTTGGAATGCTAATACTTTAGGTACTCGAGTTTTAAGAACATTTGTTGATGCAAAAAATTGCATTTGATTGTTTGAAACTAATGGATCATAACCCTAGCCAACAGGAAAAATAGAAACAAAATTTCTTCCATCCAAATAACTGATGATTCAGTTGTTGGGAGCAATTACACTATGAAAATTTAGACAGTTCAATACTTTTAGCAATTCTTAGGAACTTAGAATGACAACCCATTGCATGGAGATCTGGGTTTATGAGACTTGGTTTAAAATATGTTTCTAGTACTTAGGCTGCAGAGTTGAATGTAATTATTTCTTCAAGTGTGCTCCATAACAATAAAGACCCCAAATCTATTGGATTCTCTGCACATTTCTTCAAGTATGGTCCACCTACTATAGGGTCAAGCCTCATTTATGTCATTCTAGCATTTTCACTATCGATCTTATCTAAGGAACAAATTGCAATTATTATACATCAATCCCTAAGGTACTTGGACCTACAAGAATGTGAATTTTCACTTATATTACGTGTCTATGTTATGTTGTATCTAAATTCATAATTCATTAAATTAAGGCTTATAGCAGTTCCCCACGATTTGCAGTCACAACTAATGTTAAGTTACTTGCATATTCTCCCAATGTTGGAGGGCATAGCCAATGAGACCCTATTTCTCTTTTTTCTCTTGGTTAACGACTGTGAAGATATTTATACAAATACATAACAAAAATATATCAAATGCACATACTTTCTAACGGGATTTTAGGCGGCTCAGCAACCCCCAGATCGACATGTGTAAAGATATAGTCATTATGAAGCTCAAACGACACTGAGGAGTGGAACTGAGGAGTAATGGCTCGGAGGAGCCGAGTACATGTACCGACACCAATATTTAAGGCGATTTGCCAGCGCATTTATGGCAATGTAAGTGATTGAGACAGGGCTATTAATGAGCTCCTGCACTCTTGAGACCCCAAAATCAGCAGTCATGATTATTGAGTATTAATCGTTATGGCGCCGACCATATACCCTCGAAGGTACTGTGTCCCTGAGGATTGAATGCTCGGGAGTAGGCATCAGAACGCCGATCGGAAGACAAGTAACCGGGTATAGGGCCGTAAATGCTCGGCGTGTGCCGAGAAGTTACCCTATCGCCCGAGTAAGCTAGGCGTNCAAAAATCAGCAGTCATGATTATTGAGTATTAATCGTTATGGCGCCGACCATATACCCTCGAAGGTACTGTGTCCCTAAGGATTGAATGCTCGGGAGTAGGCATCAGAACGCCGATCAAAAGACAAGTAACCGGGTATAGGGTCGTAAATGCTCGGCGTGTGCCGAGAAGTTACCCTATCGCCCGAGTAAGCTAGGCGTGAAGATTTGAGTAGAAAACACTCATTACGCATGGGTAAGAGTGCGAGACATTAAATATTGAGATGAGACATCAGTGTCTTTGCACTCATTGCTAACTTAGGTATAAATACTCCTCAGAAATATGAACAAAGGTACACAAAAAAAAACAGAGAATNCGAGACATTAAATATTGAGATGAGACATCAGTGTCTTTGCACTCATTGCTAACTCAGGTATAAATACTCCTCAGAAATATGAACAAAGGTACACAAAAAAAAACAGAGAATTAATACATTGTGCTCAAGCCTCCAAACTGCTACTGACTTAAGTTTCGGAGGGGATAAGTCAGGTGTCAACTCGGCCCCTTTTTCTGACTTTGTGGTTATTTTAGGTTCATCATCGAGTGGATTGCTATCTCAATCTATTGCAAGAAATCTCCCGTGCACTTTCAATTCCACTAAAGATGTGAAAAACTAAACATATCTCAATTATGATTACCTCGTTTTGTTATATAATGGAAATGCTAAATTTGATTAGACAAACAAACTCTCCCTCCAACAGTTTAAATTTTTTGCGAATTTGAATCCTAACTCATCAAAATTTAGTTTTTCTTTTAATGTGGAGTACTTGGGAGAAACAAGCCTCAATTTATCCTGTGGAAACTTGAATTTCAAGAAGATAACATCCTTATTACAAATTAGGGTTATGAAGTGGAGTGGGGACCTAACCTACTATTTACAGTGAAATCTAATAGGCTTTCCCATTACGGGCCACAATTAGANTAGGGACCTAATCTACTATTTACAGTGAAATCTAATAGGCTTTCCCATTACGGGCCACAATTAGATTAAGGTCTACACTTAATCGCCTGAACCATATCAATTAAAAAATGTACATAATCCCATCAAAATAGATCACTTAATAATATTGAGTTCATTTCATTAAACCATAAATTCAGCCTATTTTTCACAAACAAAAAATTAACTATCAATTAATAGAAATCCAATATAGAAAAAATTTCAAAATTCTCCCACTTGGATGACATTAATTGTAGTCATTTAAAAAATCGTAATTATATATATACTACTAATAAAAGTACTTTAGATGAAAAAATTTTNGGAAATGCTAAATTTGATTAGACAAACAAACTCTCCCTCCAACAGTTTAAATTTTTTGCGAATTTGAATCCTAACTCATCAAAATTTAATTTTTCTTTTAATGTGGAGTACTTGGGAGAAACAAGCCTCAATTTATCCTGTGGAAACTTGAATTTCAAGAAGATAACATCCTTATTACAAATTAGGGTTATGAAGTGGAGTGGGGACCTAACCTACTATTTACAGTGAAATCTAATAGGCTTTCCCATTACGGGCCACAATTAGATTAAGGTCTACATTTAACCGCCTGAACCATATCAATTAAAAAATGTACATAATCCCATCAAAATAGATCACTTAATAATATTGAGCTCATTTCATTGAACCATAAATTCAGCCTATTTTTCACAAACAAAAAATTAACTATCAATTAATAGAAATTCAATATAAAAAAAATTTCAAAATTCTCCCACTTGGATGACATTAATTGTAGTCATTTAGAAAATCGTAATTATATATATACTACTAATAAAAGTACTTTAGATGAAAAAATTTTGATTACCATTTTTACCCTTAAACAATCCTAAAAAATCATCTTTGTTACCCCCATCCTTCATCCTATAAATGGAACTATAATGGAACTATCAATTACAAAGACAACAAACAATAAATTGTTAGACCTTACAAATTCTAACAATAAATATTCATTTATAGTAATCTACTATTGCAAGTAGAATCATTTCCTATATCTATATTATTAATACTTTTGTTTGTCTTTTTTACCATTCAAGAATTCAACAAAAATTAGTTATTTTAGCTACAATAAATTCATTTTTGTAAAACACACGATTCATTCTATTCATATTCTATACGAATATTGACTGAAGTTGTTCACTGGGTCCCTAAAAGGGAACATAATTTTTCTCTCATACAATGTATTTTTCAGATCAATATGGTCTCTNTTATATTCTGTACGAATATTGACTGAAGTTGTTCACTGGGTCCCTGAAAGGGAACATAATTTTTCTCTCATACAATGTATTTTTCAGATCAATATGGTCTCTTCTGCTTTTTCCATTCCATCTTTTGACCGAACCATCAAAAGACCTATCAACAAGAAGTCTCCTCTCCAACAATTGTTACTAAAAACTTCAGTGAAGTGTGGGTATATTAGCTAGAGATGTTCCACTTGGACATATACTTTCTTGTTAGAATAAGATACCAATAAATTAATTTTTGATATCATATCTCTTTTTTTATAAAATCATGTTGGAAGTTATGTTATTTTATTA